AGCTCCTCTATGATCTTGCTAATTTCCCTAGACACCTTTGTCCTCAAATATGTGGGCCAGCATACCGTCAGGTTCTTTATTCACTAAAGTGCTCCGTGTAGTTGTAAAGTACCACCCTCCAACATTTAATGTCAGCCAGTCTGTGTGGAATCCTAACAATCCTTCAGGAGGCTTAGAATCTGTCTGAGGATCAATAAATGGCTCTCCTTCACAAACAAACAAAACATCATCATCCCTGATCAAAGCAATATCATCAATCAGTCTACCTTTTCCATTGTACACACTGGTGGCTTTTATGCTGAGTTTACTGCTGGCCACAGAAAGCAAATCAGATAAAGTTCCATATACAGCAACCATCTTTCTGTTCTTGGGGCTGCCGTTCAGGAACAGGGTCACCCGCCTCATTGCGCTGCCCCTGCTGGGTCCTGAGTGAGCCGCCACCCTTCCACCTGGTCCTCCTCCCACCTTTTTCTCCTCCTACCCTTCCCCTCCCTCCACCCACTCGGATTCGCCTCCCTTCGCCACCTTCCTGCCCTTGGGGACACACCACACACACGCACTCTGCCCCACACCCAGGGCTCGACCAGTTCTCCTTCCCACCCCGCCCCGAGGCTCCTCAGCCTGCCTGAGTTTTTCATTTATTGACATCTATTTATTGAATGCTATTTAGGTGCAGACCACTGTTACAGGTAGTAGGGATACAGGACGAACTAGAAAAAAAATATCTACCCTCATCAAATTACATTCCAATGGGGGAACAGAGCTTAACACTCAAATAACAAACAAAAAAATACCAGACACTGATAACGCTGTGTAGATAATTAAAATAGGTAATGTAATCAATACAGTCAGCCCTCCATACCCATAGACTCCACATCTGTGGATTCAACCAAACTCTTGAGTCAAAAATATTGTGGGAAAAAAAAGCCACAAAGTTCTGCAAAGCAAAACTTGAATGTGCTGAGTACTAAGACAAATCCATGGGAATGAAGTATGTGTAGGCATTGTATTAAGTATTATAAAATAATCTAGAGATTATTTAAAAGATATGGGAGGACATGTGTAGGTTAAAAGCAAATATATGCATTTTATATAAGAGACTTCAGCATACTTGGATTCTGGTATTTAGAGGGGTCCTCTAACCAATGCCCTGTGAATACTGAGGGATGACTGTGCTGGCATTTTTATGTTGGGAGATCAGGAAAGGCTCAAAGGACATGAGATTTGAGTTGACATCCGAATGACTAGACCAGTCTTGGGAAGATTAGAGAAGATAGGTGAGAGAACTAATGCTAAGATGCTGAGCAGATACAACTGTGCCCAGTTTGAGGAACTGAAAGAGACCATTGTGTCTGGCAAGTGCTGGGTTAGGAAGAGAGTGGTATGAGGAGACATTGCCCTTCCTTCAGGAACTTGCAGGAAAACAGCTCAGTCATCACACAGACAGCTTCTGACACCTCTCTTCTTTTGGAACAAACCACAGAGGGCTTCAAATTTACAATAGTCTACAGAGCAGAAAAAGCAGGACATTTTGTTTAAAAAGTCTCCTTTTTTCTCCTCTAGGCTACAGTTTCCTTATCTGTAATCAAAGGGATGGAATGGCAATATTAACCTCACAGAGGAAGCAGATATTAATGCATATTCCATAGAACCAGCCCATGCCAAGAAATCCAAGTTGTTCTCCAAAATCAAGGCTTACTTATCCTTCCCAAACTCGAATTTCCCAGGTCCAATTCGCAGAAGAGAGCCATTGAGCCACTTAGGAAAATGTCCCCAGACTCGAGCAGAGATGCCCCGTGGAGCCTCTTCCACTGTGGTCAGTAGCGGTGCAACACATGGCAGACCCCGACACTGCCCAAAGATGGCTTTTTTCTGATGAGTATTTCCCATGTACCTTTTGAAAACTGTGCAGAGGAAACCAAAAGAACAAAAAATATTTTACCAAATCTTCTATAAACTTGCCTATTTCCCACAGACAATAATCTTATCAACTGGCAGCTTGAGGGAAACGTGAACCTAACACCAACTACGGTCTCCAAATTTCTTCTGTCTCCTTCCTCATTCTCAGACTATCAACGCTTTGGTTCTCCATTTTCAACCCACAACAATTCTATTTCTTGTAGTACTAATCTGCCTAAGAACTAACTTAGGACTTCAGTTACTATTTTTATCATTTCTCATAGTTGAACAATGCCTGTCTTTTTACAAGAATAAATTTACATGCCAACCCCAGATGTGCTAAGAGCAACTGCGTTGTTATAAAAATGACCACCATTCAATATTATCCAATTACATTGACCGCAGTAATTTAGATACACCAGAATCTGATTCCAAAGATTTCATAGCAATTCTTGTGATTTTAATAAGATCTTAAATTTAATTCCTTTTATTTGAATGGCATATACATGAAAATGCAAGGCATTTTCCAGTAGAAGGGTGTCAAAAATTAAATTATGCAGTGATATCCAGTCTGAAATTACCAAAAGAGCAAAATGCACAAGAAGTAAAAATCATTACTGTATAATAAGGAACTGAAATCTTTCCCTATTATTTTAACATTACTGAGTATTCACAAGGCAGTACTGCCTAACATAGAGGGGTGGTCAAATAAATAATCAAGTGCTATAAAATAGAATTCTTTCTCTCATTAAGGTTTAAGAGTGATTCAGAAATCTAGACTAGAAAAATGAGCTAACACATAGGGACACTATTACTCTTAAGAAATGAGATTTGCATTCTTTTAGCAAGTTATTACTATCCATTTCTTTCAAATCTTTCAAAAATTCAGCTTGAAGCACATGAGACATTCTACTCCCCTATATGACATGTAACAATTGAGGCAAACCTAATCCTTTCCTGATTTTTCAAATAAAATTCTTTCACCCTTAATGTTCTTCCCAATGTCCTTATCTCTAGTTCTAAGAAAATTCCAGCAGGGCACAGTGGCTCACACCTGTAATCCCAGCACTTTGGAAGGCCAAGGCAGGTGGACCACCTGAGGTCAGGAGTTCAAAGCCAGTCTGGCCAACATAATGAAACATAATGAAAGCCCGTCTCTACTAAAAATACAAAAAAAATCAGCCGGACGTTGTGGCAGACCCCTGTAATCCCAGCTACTCAGGAGCTGAGGTAGGAGAATCGCTTGAACCCGGGAGACAGAGGTTGCAGTGAGCCGAGATCGCACCAACGCTCTCCAGCCTGGACAACAAGAGCAAAACTTTGTCTCAAAAAGAAAAAAAAAAAATTTCATTAATTGGTCAAGGTCTATCTCCAGTGTTATAGTACTTCCCTTAAGAGGCAGCACAGTGTAGGCTGGGCACGGTGGCTCACACCTGTAATCCCAGCACTTTGGGAGGCCGAGGCAGGTGGATCACGAGATCAGGAATTCAAGACAAGCCTGGCCAAGATGGTGAAAGCTCGTCTCTACTAAACACAAACACACACACACACACACAAATCAGTGGCAGCTGCTTGTAATCCCAGCTACTCAGGAGGCTGAAGCAGGAGAATTGCTTGAACTCGGAGGGCAGAGGTTTCAGTGAGCCGAGATGGCGCCACTGCACTCCAGCCCGGGTGACAGTGAGACTCCGTCTCAAAAAAAAAAGAGGCAGCACAGTGTAATATTTAAGGGTGTGAGCTGGAGCTCTACCTGGCTCCAGCTGGTTGGTTTCAAATGTGCCTCCTCCCAAATAAGAAGCCTTGAGAAAGACACTTATCACCTCTCTGTGGTCTGTTTCCTCTTTTCTGAGATGGGGATAATGATAATTCATATTACTTCTAAGGTTGTAAGTAATAAATGAGTTAGTTTATGTAAAGCTTTTAGAACAGAATACTCAAAAAATGCTATTATTATATTTACATAGCTTTTAATGATAGTCCAATAAGGTGTAATATCTTCTTTATTTTATTCATTTGACAAAGTACTTGGTATCGCTGAGGGATAAAAAGCATTAGAACCCTGAAATAAAAGAACTGACTGCCTAGTAAACAGATCACTGACACTGTAAGTGTTTTATTTCTGCATTGTTTCTCAGAGTCTGGTACAGGACTACTTGCAACAGAAATACCTGGTGTTACTGCTAAAATGCAGCTTCCTGGACTCCATTCTGGTCCTAATAAATCAGAATCGCTTGGGAAGGGCAAGCAGGTGTTCTTAGGCATACTAAAATTTGGGAAGTACAGTATAAGAATTACAAAGAGGATGCTTTGAAAAGATAGAGAAGGAAAAACTCTCAGTTATTCATCTTACTCTATTTTTATTAACATTATGCATATTTATCTTATTCTCAGATTAAAATAAATTCCCTAAGGTCAGGTATATAATTTACTCATCTTACTTTTTTAAGTAAATTGAATGGCCTAATTGGGCATTTGTCTAAGTAGAGATACACGAATTTAAGCATTTCACATTGTAGAAAATATTTACATGTCTATATGTTGTATACTCCATAGCATGCTGTTCGTAGTCTGCTACATGATCTTCAAAGTTTCAATAGAATTTGATGTTAACAACTTTCTTAAACTCCTTTCTATTCATAGCTTCTGAGACATTGTCATATTCTAACTTTCCTGTTGCCCTATAACTACTCTCTGCATTCTGCTAGTTTTATTACTTATTAGCTGACAACCTTGAGCAAGTTACTTAATGTCTCTGAGCCTCAGGTTTTTCAATGATAAAATGGAAATAAAAGGAGATTAATACTTCCTGTTTATGTCTGTCATCATAATCAAATATAAAGATACTGGATGCTTTCCAAATGTTAATTCCCTTTAGGGGCTCCTTGTCTCCCTTATCACTTCATGAATGTTCCTAAGGTCCTACCTTGGATCTTTAATCTTAGCACTCTCCCTTGGCAATCTCATCTAGTCTCTTAATTTCACCAATTACTTCTGGCAGGTGACCTTCAACATGTCAAAATAGAATTTTTAATTTCCCCCCTTCCAAATCAGTTTTCTTCATCTAGGATATTTCCCAACTCCTTCAGATGACATTCACTCACCTAACTCATCCTTCAAGATCCAGTTTCCATGTCATTTGCTTTATAAACACAGCATTCGCCTTACCTACAGCAAGAACTGATTATCCTTAGTCTGAACTCACAGCATCTGTTTATAGCTCTGTTTATGGACCTTATCTTATCTGTCTTGCATGATAAATGATACTACCAGTACTCCTTGAGTACAGGGTCTGGTGTTTGTCTCCCCTCTCCTTCCAGTACGTAATACATTCCCTTGCATACTGCAAACATTAAATTACTACATTAAGTAATTTTAAAATTTATAGTGCATATTAGTATGATTTCTGAAAGTTCTAGATCAGCCAATTTCTATAAATAAAATCATGTAACAATGGTAGCCATAATAGAAGGCCATAAAACAATAAATGAGTTTTAAGGCAGTCCCCGCAAAATGCAAATAGAGAAACCAAACAATTACATTAGAATGTGTGGCAGCGATTTTTCAATTTAGAAAAGCCTAAATATTGAATATTCTTCTTATTGCAAATCCCAAAGAATCCCAAGCCCCTGAATCCTGCCCTAAATACTGCATAAAATATGCAAATGTGAAGGCTGTTTCCCTGACCATGAGGAAACAATCCTAACTCAGCCTTCTTTAACTTCCGGGACTCTGTGGAATTGCTGTCTAATCTGAGGCACACAGGACGGAAAGCTTCAGAAGCTCCCAACAGTCTTCAGGAAAGTGGCACAGAATTCTAAGTGCAGACTGGCAAGAAGAGGAGGATGAGGAGGAGAAAGGGGCAAACCCCCTACCTGGGAGCGGGTGCACCATCACAGGAAGGAAATCCACTGCAGTGGCAGAAAGACTCCTGATAAAATGGAGAAAGACTCGAAAAAACATTTTCATATTGAGCAGATCCCGTGATTTCCAAATCCTCTCACACTGGCAGCTTTGAGTACTACTAAACGATGAACACGCACAGAACTGCCTGGACTGTCCCTCCCTTACTGACAGGTCGAAGTGAGGAGGAGGCTTAAGGGGCGGGGCTTATTTCCATGACAACTGTCCAAACAACCTATCTTTAATAAGCAGCTGTTTGAAATATTAAAATTAGACCACCAGTAGTGGTCTCCCCCTCCCTAAACTTTTCTTTTTCAAACCTGTTCACACACTATAGTTAAGTCCGTTTATCTTGATGCACAGCATCAATTTTATTATGCCACTCTTCTCTTCTGGAAGATTCCGACACAGAATAAAGTCCAAATTTAGACTGCCACTAGAGGACTCTACAATCTGGCAACAATTTACCTTTCATTCTTTTTCTCTGCCTTTAAATCACTTCATCCTTCCTTTTCTTTTCTATTCATTAATTTTACAGAACATTTTCTGACAATCTAGCATGAGTGAAAGTATGCCCTCAAAATGTATATGACTTTATTAATTTAACATTTTTAGCACCAATGTATCAAATACTGTGCTACAAAGAAAGAATACCAAGAAACAAGATTGTCCCTGCTCTCCAGGAGTTTAGACCATACACTATTCCCCTTCATGAATTTTCATCCTAGCAAAGTGACTAACATACCATGATACGTTTGTTCTTCTGTGCCACTGAAGAAACTTTTCTCCTGCCTGAAATATCCCCTTTCCTTTTCAAAAATCCAATTTAAAATCTACCTCTCTGACTCCCTTACCAAAAGGTCTTCTAGTAACTTCCACAGCACTGCCACAGAGTTGCTTTTAACATTAACATATCATGTTTTCCTGGCAAAATTGTAAGTATATTTCAAGAAAGAAGTGGTTAAAATTGTCAGAAGGGAGTGTCTTAATACATCTAGCAGAGTACAAAGATGGTTTGGTATATATTTTGATTAGTAATCAATGAAAAATAACTTACAAATTTGTGAGACTTTATTGAAATAGTAAAGAGTAACATCAGAGGTGCAAATTAAAGGGCAGTGGTATTCCTACAATAGCATTTCTCCAGTTTGTGAGATTTTTTTTTTTTTTTTTCTGAGACAGAGTCTCACTCTGTCACCCAGGCTGGAGTACAGTGGCACAATCTCGGTTCACTGCAACCTCTGCCTCCCGGGTTCAAGTGATTCTCCTATCTCAGCCTCCTAAGTAGCTGGGACTACAGGTGTACACCACGATACCTGGCTACTTTTTTTTTATTTTTAGTAGAGACAGGGTTTTGCCATGTTGCCCAGGCTGGTCTCAAACTCTTGACCTCAAGTGATCTGCCTGCCCCAGCCTCTCAAACTGCTGGGATTACAGGTGTGAGCCACCATGCCTGGCCAAGATAATGACTCTTGTCTATGTGGATGGTACCAAAACCATCCAAATTTGATTTTAAAAAAGAGCCTTCATGATTAGGCTTTCAGGCACCTTTATACTAGAAGGTATAACAATTCTGAACAGTAAACACATTGTGACTTAAAATCAGTTCTCCAGTCTTAATCATATCAAATGAAATGATCAAATCCATTTTCTGAACCTTCAAAGGAAAGAACTAGATGTTGAACAATAGTGATACCATCAGGATATAACAAGTATATTATGAAATCTAGTCTGAAACAATCTGTTGGCCTTATTTTTCATATTAGTAATAAATGCTTAGAAAAAGAACATTTCTTAATGATGGTAGGTCAAAATCCAGACAACATGTCGTATTAACTCACAAACCTTCTGGTTGTATTTAGTTTTTAAAAAATTTCCTTTTGGCCGGGCGCAGTGGCTCATGCCTATAATCTCAGCATTTCAGGAGGCTGAGGCGCGTGGGTCACCTGAGGTCAGGAGTTCAAGACCAGCCTGGCCAACACGGCAAAACCCCATCTCTACTGAAAATACAAAAATTAGCCAGGTGTGGTGGCAGGTGCCTGTAATCCCAGCTACTCAAGAGGCTGAGGCAGGACAATCGCTTGAACCTGAGAGGCAGAGGTTGTAGTGAGCCGAGATCATGCCACTGCACTTCAGCCTAGGCAACAGAGCAAGATTCTGTCTCAAAAAAAAAGAAAGAAAGAAAGAAAAAGAAAAAAGAAAGAAAGAAAGAAAAAACTGAAAAAGTTTCCTTTCTTTCCTTCTTTAGAGACAGAGTCTCACTCTGTCACCCAGGTTAGAGTGCAGTGATGCAATCATAGCTTGCAGCAGCTTCAGACTCCTGGGCTCAAGTCATCCTCCCACTTCAGTCTCTCAAATAGCTAGGATTAGAAATGGGAGCCACTGCGCGTAACAAAAAAAAAAAAAAAAAAAATCATTTCTAATAATTACTTTGTTGACCTCCAACCTATTCTGTGCCACCCTCTATCAACCCAATAGTTTTTTCCAGTTAACCAATTTTCTTTAGCAAATATTATTTTATTTCACTTTTGTCATCTTTTCTGAGTATTCATGTCATGTGGTGTTTATGCCTTAAAATAGTAATGTAACGAAATGAGATTTTATTTTAGAGTTTAGAAGTCAGCAAGGCAAATGTGCAGTCTGCCTTAGGAATAACAATTCCCTGTAGTACTATTTGCAATTTTCGGATTGCTTATATTGGAAAAATATACATGTAATAAACTGAACCGTCTATATGATTGAAAAATGGGTGCTACTGTGTTTAAAAATCTGGTTAACACAGCTATCCCGTATAGTAATATATAATACAGAAAGTTTTCAGTAAAATCATAGTAGTACTTTACATCAAAGGGATAATTTTTTTTAGCTAGATGAGTAGTATAGATCCTCCAGTCCAAATCCAATTTCTCAATTATAATAGGATTGAAGTGACCTCCCAAGGTCATCTTGTTGTTTAAGCCCATCTATTTACTTCTGGATCACTAATCTTTATCCCATACCACACTGCTGATAATGTTTCTAAATATAATTCATTAACTGCATATGTTGATGTGGTCGATGTGTAAAAAAGTCAACTCATACAAGGTTTTGGTGAGTAATTTCTGGTTTTTATTTTACTATTTTTACCACAAGAAAATAATTTTAAGCCAAGAGCTTCTATTAGTCATACATAATAACTAACAGTGAAAATAATCAAATGGAAATAGCACACAGTTACGTCATTCTATTCTAAGAAACTGGAAAAATCACCTCTAAGGTTTTAATCTTTTATAATCTTGACCACAAAAAATTTTTTCAAAATTATCTCCAAAACTATCTGATATTTAAACAAAATATTCTAAAAGAAAAAGTATGATGTTATTAAACATTATAAATTAACTGAATCCTGTTTTAGAAGTTTAAGAAACACTAAGAAGTTTAAGGAAAAAATAAAAGAATCCACATAAGATTTAAATAATTTACACTTCTATAAAATGTACTAAATATTTGACCCTCAAAAGAAAAGTGACATAGCTCATGTTAATGTCCAGTTTAGGACATTAACACGAACATTAATATTAACATTAAGGAATTTTAAAGTTCCCTTTTAAATCTAGAAATTCAAAGTTTCCCCTTCTCTATTCAAAATATACATTTTCTTTAACAACTTCAGAGCTTTCAAAGCATAAATGTCATTCTTTCATTATAACAATAATAGATTTAAATTATCAGCTTATTTCAAGTATATATTTTATCTGTGTAATGTGTTTGCAATCACTGTAAACCTCTGTCGCAGGAACTCTCTTTTTTGTATTAGAAAGTTTTCAATAGTATTGGCTTCTTTGAAGAGTTCATCTATCTCATCAATGTAAGATGCATCTACTGCTGCTCTCTCACTAATAGGAAAAAAAGTTGTATATTAAACTAAGTAGATATAAACAACATCATTATGTTGTTCTTCATTACATTTGTTAACTATTTCATTTAAATGGCTTTATGTGCCACAGAACTTCATTAATTTACTAATACTCTTTGGAAAAAAAATTAGTCCCACAAATATTTTTGACTACTCAAAAAGGTCTCCTGACAAAACAGGAAATGTATCTAATACATTATCAACACTAATATTCAATTATATACATTATTTTTACAGCCACATAAACCACTATCCAAGTATAATGACTGTCCAGCAGTGTAAAAAAACACACACACACTTTATAAAACATGATATCAGGCTAATAAAATATTTAAATTTGGTCTTAAAATAAATATAGGTAAAATATAAATGCAGTCATCCCTCAGTATCCATGGGGTATTGGTTCCAGAATCCCCCACAGATACCAAAGGAACATCCCTCATAGATATTCAAGTCCCTTATATAAAACATCATACTATTTGCATATAACCTAAGAACATTCTGCCATATACTTTAAATTATTTCTTGATTACTTATAAGACCAATACCATGTAAATGCTATGTAAACAGTTGTTATACTGTATTGTTTGAAAAATCATGACAAGAAAAAATGTCTGTACATGTTCAGTACAGACACAACCATCCTTTTTCTCCCCAAATATTTTCTATGTGTGGTTGACTGAATCCACAGATTCAGAATTAATGGATGTGAAAGGCTGACTTTCTATGACATAAAAGTATTTATCTTTAATATCACTCTGTTATCATCAATTTCACCAAACATTTTTCTCAAAGAGGTATTTACATAAAATTTAAAACGTAACGTCATCTAATTACAGACCAAGATATATACAATCTAGTACTAGCTTGACAAGAGTTAAAAAAAAAAAAAGAATTTTTAGTGGAAAAGTTGACGCTATTCTCTGAAAACAACCAACTAATCTATTTTAAGGGACTGAAGTAGAATAAAAAATTCCAACGTTTTAATTACTGGAGAGGTTTGCCAGCCACAGAGTTAAACTTCCCGTTACAGAGTTTCCAGAAGAAAACTAACATAAAGACCCCAGAGAATATACTATAAGTACTTGCCTTAAAAGCTTTGCATAGGTAGACAACATTAGATTAATTTCCTTGCTCACATCTGTTCAAGAAAAATCATATAAGTTATAAAATATAACAAACCTTCTGCATTATAAAACTGATGTTTAGAAATATAAACATTTTATACATCACCATTTAAATCTTTCTCCAAGGCTTCATCTTTATAAAACAGTCCAGAACTTTCAGAGAAAGATGAATCTGATTTTCCAAGAGAGGACAGCTGTGGACTATCTGGCACTGGAGACTAACAGGACAAAATAAAGAAAAGAGGTACAGTCAGTAAGATCTTCAGGACATACACTGAATTTATTAAGTATATGTTTATTTGTTTATTAAGAAAAAGCAAATAAACCATTTTTCAGAAAAAGGCAAACATGCTAGAAAGCATATGACTTAGTCATTTGAGTTTTTATTATTAAGGAAATTTACAGGCCCAAGAAACACCTTGATCAATATATTAAATTTTATTTTGGTTTTCAACTAGACTTTGCTTTTCATTTGTTTGTTTTTGTGACAAGTTCTCGCTCTGTCACCTACACCAGAGTGTAGTGACACAATCTTAGCTCCCTGTAGCCTCCTGGATTCAAGTGATCCTCCTGTCTCAGACTCCTGAGTAACTAGGACTACAGGCACATTCCACCATGCCCAGTTAATTTTGTTTTGTTTTGTTTTCAGAGACAAGGTATTGCAGTGTTGCCCAGGCTGATATGAAACTCTTAGCCTCAAACGATACTCCTGCCTCAGCCTCCCAAAGCACTAGGATTATAGCCATGACCCCATGCGCCCAGCCTTAAATTAGATTTTAAATGTGGTTTTAAACTCCTGCTGAAAAAGCGTCTGGCATCTTGAACCAGTAGATGTTTTCATAGCAATGAAGCTAAACTGTAATTTAGACAGTAGCCAAATGCTTGCGAAATTTTGCAAAATAATATAATCTTCAAGGGAGCAAATCATGTCCCAAATGCAACAGATCAATTGGTGGGGGCAGGACTGGTAAAGGATAGGATACTGTGCTCTTTAAAAAGACCGGTAACTATAGTACCTAGGTATCTTACTTATCATAGCAAAATAATTACATAAAATCCTATGTATCATAAAGGCACAGACTCACTTCTGTCTCTAGATCTCAAGCTATCAAAAAGAAATCTCCCAATAGTTTCTTGCAGGCCTATACTTAGTGAAAAACCAGCTGGAATCAACATAGTTCCTGCTATGTTGTAGGACAATCCTAGCTCTGGGCATACGAATATATTAAATTCCACTTATCTATAGAGCTTTCTTAAAGGGAAGAAATTTGAGAAGTATGTAAAACAGAATAAAAGATTAAGGCTACACAGGCACAGAGCTTACCTCCAATTCTCTTGGCCTCTTGCAATTTCTATTGTCAGGCTTTACAAGGTGATTTGCCATCATATTCCGAAGGCACCAGCTATAAAGCTGAGAACAATGCCAGATTTAGATACAAACTGCACGCTACAAGATCTCTGGAATCCTTCCCTTTTTCCCACTCCTACTGCTGATGTTAATTTAGACTGTCATTATCTGTCACTTTCCTAAACTCAATTTCTCCCTCCTCCAAATCATTCTATCAACTGCTATTTGGGTAATCTTTCAAAACTTTTGATTACTGCATTCCTTTAACTCCAAAACTTTCATTGTTTCAGAATAAGTTGAAATTCCATGATATGGCCTTCAAGGTCCTGTATTTTATGGCCTTCAAGGTCCTGTATTATCTGGTGCCAGCCTACTAGTCCCATCATTTTCAACTACTCCTCTCTATGTACTTAGCCAAATGAGTCTTTCTGGCAATTCTGCCTTGTTTCAGGACTGGCTCAGTTAAGATTCTTCTATGTTCGGCCGGGCACAGTGGCTCATGCCTGTAATCCCAGCACTTTGGGAGGCTGAGGTGGGAAAATCACCTGAGGTTGGGAGTTCGAGACCAGCGTGGCCAGCATGGTGAAACCCCATGTCTACTAAAAATTCAAACATTAGCCGGGCATGGTGGCAGGCGCCTGTAATCCCAGCTGCTTGGGAAGCTGAGGGGAGAGAATTGCTTGAACCCGGGAGAGGGAGGTTGCAGTGAGCCGAGATTGCGCCACTGCACTCCAGCCTGGGCAACAGAGCAAGACTCCACCTCAAAAAAAAAAAAAAAAAAGATTCTTCTATCTTCACAAAATCTTAATGTTGAAACAGGTCTTACAGTTCATCTAATTCAATCTCATTTTTTACAAGTAAGAAAACAGGGACAGTGATGGTGGATCAAGTGACACCAGTAAGACTGAACTAGACTAGAACCGAGATCTCACTCTTCGAGTCTGAGATTATTCCCACTGTCCAACCTTACTTTAAAGTAGCTTCAAATTTTACTTTTACTTTTCCATAAATTCGGAAGGCATTTTCCCTAGAAGTCCAAATGCTGAAACCTGGAAGGGTATAGTCTCTGTCTTTGAGATAAGGGGAGCCCTATCCACTTTCAAGTTATCAACAGACTTTGTTGTTTTTGAGAAACGATGCTGACTTGGGTAACTGTAATGCATCTGTTTGATTAGTCCTATAAAATATGCATATATAGAAGACAGAAAGAGCAACAACAAATTAGAAAGATGCTTAAGTAAATTCTGTATTGTACGTCTCCATTTCTGCCAGTACCTTTATAGTATGCAAGTTTATGTGCTATAATAATATTAATAGTATCTAGAAAATACTACACACGCACGGCAGTGCTAACTTTGCCTTGGGAGTTGGAAAATACTTAAGCCAACAGGCGGATTTTTCTCTCCTCCCTTCCACTTCTAATCCCTTTCCCCTTCACCCCCTTCTCTTCTCTCCCAAAGTAACACTGCGCACCTACGTCAAATGAAAACTTATAATCAAGTAACTGTTTCTGCAAAAATAAGTTCGTTTTTCTGTCATAGCTCAAGGCCTCAGCAGATCCAGGCCTGGTGGACTGTTTGGTCTTCGTCGTATGCCAAACACTGGCCACTGCCCCCGGCTCTGCCATCTTAGGCTTAGTGACCTGGCTGTTACTAAGCACTGTCACCCTCTGCCTCATGCAGCTGTCTCTTTCTAGTCTTCTCCCTCTTCTCAACGCCAACCTGGCCCCTCAGTCCATTTCACCTCCATATTCCTCACTTCCCGCCGCCCCTCCCCACTTCCTCCGTACTGTTGCTTCCGTCCCACTAGAGCCCCTCAGAGGAAGCTTCCATCCTCGCGCCCTTCCTCGTGTCACACTCCGTCACATTCTCACAGACGCCCATCCGTCCAGCCCCACCCCAAGGCCAATGTACTTCGCGGTATGGGCACCTTCCTCGTCAGCGAACGCGAGGGAGTGAGGACGCTGGGCGCGGGTTGCTCAGACTTCGCGGGTAGAGGTGGAAAGCGCGCCGCACTCCCAGCAGCCCCCGCGCGAGTCACGTGACAGCCCCCCCGCCCCCGCCCACTTCCCCACGGCAGCCTCCCAGAGTCTGGCCCCACGGAAGGCCAGCTTTTTTCCGGTTTTCTCCCGCTCTTTCCCCTCAACTTGAAATAGTCGTGAAACAAAAATCTCTCCCTGCCACCCTGTCTGTATTTCAATCAGGAAAAAAGTCGGAAACTGGTCAAGAAAGAACAAGGAAGACTTGCCAAAGCAAGGCCGGGTGTGCCCCAGCGGCTTAGAATCTCAGCAAGGGAACACAAAATCCACGGCCTCTTTTCGAGTAAAATTTACTTGGTTTGTTTGCAGATGCTCTGTTGGCAGGAAGGCTTTAATCATGTGTTCCCCTGGCCCACAAGCAAGGCTTTTAGATCCAGAGCCTCAGTTACTGCCCCTCTTCCTTTTTGGTGCAACCAAACTTTCAGAACCTCACCTTCTTAGAAAATTCTTCCCCGGGTCTGTCAATAAGTTTAGTCAACTTAATTGGCAGCAGCTTTCAAAAACTATTGCATGACACACATGGCTCACAAAACTGTAGCTTTGCCTCATCAGGTTCTTTAATGTGGAGGCTTTGACCTGCAGTTTCAAAGATATACATTCCAAGCTTATGCCTAGTTAGTGGATGTGGAAGAAAAAAACAAAGCAAATTACCTCATAACACAAAGGTCAGTAACACCCGTAAGCTCCAGGTACAAAATCTTATATCTTAGAGAACTATATTTAACACTTCCATACATTACTAATGGTATTTTTTTTTAATTTTGCTTAATTAAATGTTAGTTATCATCAAGCCTTGGAAGTATTCTGTGTGTGTATATTTATTTGCTGTTCGTGAAGAAGCCAATTGTTTTTTTTGTTTGTTTTTTTTTTGGTTTTTTTTTTGAGACGGAGTCTCCCTCTGTCACCCAGGCTGGAGTGCAGTGGCCAGATCTCAGCTCACTGCAAGCTCCGCCTCCCGGGTTCACGCCATTCTCCTGCCTCAGCCTCCTGAGTAGCTGAGACTACAGGCGCCCGCCACCTCGCCCGGCTAGTTTTTTATTTTTTTAGTAGAGACGGGGTTTCACCGTGTTAGCCAGGATGGTCTCGATCTCCTGACCTCGTGATCCGCCCGTCTCGGCCTCCCAAAGTGCTGGGATGACAGGCGTGAGCCACCGCGCCCGGCCGAAGCCAATTGTTTTAAATAAGTTCCTAGAAAATAAGCGCTCAATGTGTTTAATCTGAGTTGCTAATATTGTGAAATATAGGCCACGTAACTAAATACTAGATTACATAACTATGGCGAAATAAGGAGTCTCAAACAGTGTCCCAGAACAATAGCAATCTGTGTTGAATTTTTACCCTCTGTGGTAAAATGAAGGGAAAAGGAATGAAGTTTTAGTTTTCCTTAATTTTTATCTTTATTGTTTCAGACTCTTGAGCAGTATAAACTTTTCATCAAGTCAAATATATTCACAGTAAAGGACTGTCCTTTATTCTGATACCATGTCCTTCCTAATTTTGGAGGCACAGATGAGATAAGTTTTATGAAATAAAAAGTTTAAAAATTCTTACATTTTTAGAGTCCTTACTTGGTAAAATGTAGAGTTGTCCACCATGTTTATCTCTTCCTCCTTATTATCATGATTGCTGTTATTATTTTTAATTGTTCATTAAATCCAAGGGTCTGGGAAATACTCATGTAATTCATCTCACAGCCTTCACATTGTATGATATCCAAACAGGTGGCTGTCCATCCTATTCGTAAAATATTTCCAGGAAAAATTATTCCACCTAATGCGTAAATGTTTTCATCAGATTAAGAGAACACCGTGGACATTTTATTTTATTTTTAAAATCTTACCTCCATTGTATAAGCTAAATGTGTAGGAATAAGTGAGATTATATAGATATTATCTAGAGCTTTAAAATATTCAAAGCACTGTCATCATTATCTCATTTAATCTTTGAAAACAATTCCATGAAGTACAAAGAACACTGAGAAATTTGGATTGCTCTATATCAAAGAAAAAAGTGTTTGTCCCAAAACTTCAAAATGTGTAAATTGTACATTCTGCATCTTTACAGCTGGAGAAAATTCACTGGCAATGGAATATTTAAAATTAGAGCTTGCTTAGTGCTCTGCTTCTGATCACTACTTGATCCCGCTTCGTGCTTTCATGTTAATTGGCCCAAGTGGACTCTACAGTTGGAAGGTGAAAACTTACTATTTCAACTTGAGTCCTGTATGTATTCTTTTCATATATTTCTTAAATGTACTATTTTTTTTTCTTCTGATAGTCACCACACCAAGCATTTCCAGTCACCCTGCCACAGACTTCCTTTGTAATCACTGCTGAAGGATATGATGTTTTTATGACTTCCCGAAATGAAAACCCTATCTTGTTTTTAAAACAAACAAGTCAACAAAAAGTAGTGTTTATGTAAGCATTTTGTTCCCTGACTCTAGGAACCCCTCTGTTTTTATACCATCTCTGTACTGGCAAAACACAAAAACAAAACGCCACCTTGCTAATTCCCTTCCTAGCAAAGTGATACAGTTTAGCACATGTTCAAGAAAAAAAATGGCTAAGAAATTGTGTTTCCACTAATTATTTTCAAGACTGTGATATTTACACTCTGCTCTTTAAAAGTTACATTTTGTAAGACTATTTTTTAACAAGTTGAACATAAGCCCTAAAAATATGTATCCTTAAATTGTATTTTGAATATTTTAAGTCAGTCTTTGCTATCATTCCAGGAATAGAAAGTTTTAACACTAGAAACTGCAAGTTTGCCCTCTCATCTGAATTTTGGTATCCCTCTCCCCAAGCTTACTTTCTGTTGCAGAAAATTTAAAAATTATTAAATAAAATTCTAATGATGGTATCCATGTGGCTTGCATCTGATATAGCAGATAAAGAAGTTTTATGAAAATGGACTCCTTTTCCACTGAAAAGTAAATCTTAATGGCCTGTATCAACTATCCTTTGACACCATATTGAGCTTGGGAGGAAGGGGAAGTCCGGAATGAGGTTATAAAGTAAAAAAAAAATATTTTGCAAAATGTTCCTTCTTTTAAAATGTTATGTTTTAGAAATATTTTAAGTGTTGTAACATTGTAGGAATTACCCCAATAGGACTGATTATTCCGCATTGTAAAATGAGAAAAAGTTTTGTGCTGAAGTGTGACCAGGAAGTCTGAAAATGAAGAGAGACAGATGAGAAAAGAAGATGCTTCTAATGGACTAAGGAGGTGCTTTCTTAAAGTGTTTGTGTGTACTTCAGAAAGAGGTACAGGTTTTGGAAGGCGCAGAGGCCCAACTTTTACAGAAGAAAAGATTTCATGAAAATAGTGATATTACATTAAAAGAAATACTCGTATCCTCTGCCACTTTATTTCAACTTCTATTGCCCTAAGAAAGAGCCTGTTTGAAGGCGGGAACAAGGAGTGCCGGCAGCAGTCTCCTCCCTCCACCTTCTTCCTCATTCTCTCCCGAGCCTGCTGAGCCCTTTGCTCCCCTGGCGACTGCCTGGACAGGCAGCAAGGAGTTGTCTCCCAGTGCGTTTTGCCCTCCTAGCTGCCAACTCTGGCTGCTAAAGCGGCTGCCACCTGCTACAGTCTGTTACACAGCCTCGGGAAGAGGAAAGGGACCTCGGACCTTCCAGATTGCTTTCTCTAGCAAGAAACTGTCACAGGTAAGAAATGTCATTCTTCTTTATTTGGAAAGTCAGCCATGGCAATTAGAGGTAAATAAGCTAGAAAAACAATTGAGAGGAATATAAACCATCTAGCATCACTATGATGAGCAATCAGTATCAACATAAGAAATACAAGCAAAGTCAGAGTGAATTTTTTTCTTTTATCAAATATGGGAGAGGATCACTTTAGAGGAGAGGTTCTCAAACTTTTTGCTCTCATGATCCCTTTACACTAAGCACATCACATGTTAGCATAAGTAACATTTTTAATTAAAGATAACTATGTACTTTTTTTAACAACAACAAAAAAGCATAAAGAGTGACGCTTTTTTATTTTTACAAGTGTTTTAACTGGTTTAATAGAAGCCATATAGAGCCGCTGGATTCTCATTTGCTTTGCATTCAGACTATTGCAATATTGCACAGAATGTAGCCTCTGGTAAACTCTGTTGTTCGCTCATGAGAGAATGAGTGAAAAAGACAAATTACGTCTTAGAATTATTAGAAATAGCTTTCACTTTAGGAATTCCCTGAGAATCGCTGCTTTAGAGTGGTAAAATAAATAGGCTTCTCTTTAAAGGGAATCTCAAGACAGAATCAATTACATTAAAGGCAAACAAAAAATTTGCCCATGGGTAGTCATCTTGTGAAATCTGCCACACCTTTGGACTGGGCTACAATTGGATAATATAGCATTCCCTGGGATAATTTTGTTTCACAGTTAAGGGAAAGGCTGAATAAATATCTCTGTTTGAAGTTGAATAACAAAAATTAGGACCCCCTAAATTTTAGGACACCTGAAATTCCTCTTTTTGCCTATATTCAGCTACTTTGAGTTCTGTTAAATCTTCTTTCACCCGAGGTCAGTAGCTCCTGCCCAGAATCTCAGGCAGGCCTGAGCCCAGGAATTTGAGACCAGCCAGGGCAACATAGTCTCTACAAACTAATTAAAAATTACCTGGGTATGTTGGTGCATGCCTGTAGAACTACTCAGGATTCTGAGGATTGCTTGAGTCCAGGATACTGAAATCTGTGGTGAGTTCAGTCACTAAACAGAGTGAGACTTTCTCAAAAAAAAAAAAAAAAAGTTCCTTCAAAATAACTTTTGTCTGCAATGTTTTCCTATTGCCTATGAGATTAAATTTACTCTTCTACCTGATTTCCAAAGCCCTCCAAAATCTAATCCCACTTTACCCTGTGTTCACTGCAAAACAGCAGGACTGTTCCAGTGCAATCCAGAAATCACAGGCTGGGGGCAGTGGCTCACACCTGTAATCCCAGCACTTTGGAAGGCCAAGGCAGGTGGATTGCTTCAGCTCAGGAGTTCAAGACCAGCCTGGGCAACGATGGCAAACACCCTGTCTCTACAAAAAAATACAAAAATTAACCAGACTTAGTAGTATGTGCCTGTAGTCCCAACTAGAGGCAAGAGGATCACTTGAGTCCAGGAGGTCAAGGCTACAGTGAGCCATGTTCGCTGTGTCACTGCACTCCAGCCTGGGTGACAGAGCAATACCACATCTCAAAAAAAAAGAAAAGAAAAAAAATCACTCTATTCAGTTCACCCCCACCACAACATTGTTTTGATTATCACATAAATGCTGGTCCATTTCCTTCCCTTCTCTATCTATTCAAATCTTTAAGCATTCTTTGAGATTCAATTCAATTCTCCTTTTCAAACTAGGCCATTTAAACTACATCAGTTCCATTTTGATTTTTTGCTTTGAGTCTACAGACTCAAAACCAAAAACTTAAAAAGTTATTTTTTAAGTTTTCTTCTACTGTCACCTCTTCCACACTCACATACACGCGTTCATAATAAGATGACAAAATGTTCAAGGACAAAATGATTTATAGAACTGAAAAGTTAGGTTTTGATCTTGATGCTGTCAAGACGACTACCTGCCTGATCTCAGGAAATTAGTTATGTAGCATGCTCCCTCATTTCCTCCTATACCTATTCGACAGGATTGGAATTCCACAGCAAGGATAAACGTAATCATAGTTGCTTTTCAAGTTCAAGGCATTTTAACTTTTAATCTAGTAGTATGTTTGTTGTTGTTGTTGTCGTTTGAGACGGAGCCCTGCTCTGTCATCCAGGCTGGAATGCAGTGGCACAAACTCAGCTCACTGCAACCTCCGCCTCATGGATTCATTCAGTTATCCTGCCTCAGCATCCCAAGTAGCTGGGCTACAAGGCACATGCCACCATGCCTGGCTAATTTTTGTATTTTTAGTAAAGACAGGGTTTCACCATGTTGGCCAGGCTGGTCTCGAACACCTGACCTCAAGTGATCCAGCTGCCTTGGCCTCCCGAAGTGCCGGGATTACAGGCGTAAGCCACCGTGCCCCAGCCTAATAGTATGTTTTTAAACTCTTAGTGGCTTAACAATGCTGGTTGTATAATAAACATGCCATAAATATGTATTGTCTTAGAATTATGAAGAAGTGGTTACTAAGCCGTTTGCCACATATCAGTGGTTCTCTCCTTACAGCTTTAACTGGAGTCTAGAATTTCAGGTTGGTAGAGCTGGAACAGACCTTAAAGATTGACTACCCAACTTCCTTGTCCAAATGAGGAAACTGAGACCCTTAAAATTAAGTGACTTGCCCCAGACAAAACTGGAACTCATGTGTCCTCATTTACATCGTGAAATTCTACCATTCACTAGCCTCTGGCTAGTTGTCGAAGTATTGCATAACTAAACATTTTTTTGTGTTTTAAAGAACAAATTGTCACTGCTTACTCCTGGGAGGATCTTTCTGAGATGGTTTATAACTCTTAAAAAAAAAAAAAAAAGTCAATAGTCTGAGAACTTTAGTTGAAATAGTCAAAGCATTTTTATCCAATGGATACTATAATTTTCATGGATTAGAGTTTAAGCAAAGAAACATGGATGAGAAAGGAAGAGGAAAATTGAGGACAGGAAGAATGGGGTTGAGAACACACCACTTGTAATCAGTCATAGCTGTATTGAGAACTAACAAGAAGAATTGTAAGAAAATAAGAATGAAGAATTCAAAATCAGCACATGAAATAAAAAAGAAACTACTAGGGAAAAATAGAGAAGACATTAGAAAAAGTATTCTGTTTTTAAAATTCTGTTTTCAGGCTTCCCTCCTGTTCTTCCTCCTTCTCATTGGTTTTCAGGTGGAGGGAAAGTTTAAGATAGAAAAAATATATATATTCTACACATCCCTTTCTACACCATTGTCATGGCAACAAGGTTTATCATAGCAAACTTTTATTCATAGAACATTTATTGAGTTCTTACTATGTGGTAGGCTCTTTCCAGGTGTTGAAGATTCAGGGGGAGAAAAAGACAACTCATTGTCTTAAAACTCAGATGGAAGCTGAACAGACCTATTTTTATTCAAAGTAATCTCCATTCAGGGTAGTAAGAGCTATTTAAGAAGCATGAACAGGCTTGAGTGAGGTGGGACTCTGAGGAGAGAATAATTAGCTAGGAATGAAAGAGCAGAGAAGTTTTCCTAGAGGAACTATTAAAGCTGGAAGTTATGGGATGAGAGATGAGGCAGGGTTTGCAGGCAGGAAAAAAAAAAAAAAAAAGCAGGGGAAGGGGAAGTTCTGGCCTGGCAGAGAGAATAACTCTGGCAACAATGGAGGAGAGTCTGGAAGCAAGACAGCCAAGTAGAAGAGTATTAATATAGAAGATGCCAGGGGTGATGAGGGCTTGATTTCAGACAGTGCTGTTGGAGACGGAGAGGAGATACTAAATTCTGGAGACATTTCTGAGTTAGAATCTACAGTATTTATCAGACAAGGGAAAGATTAGACAAAGGAGTTAAGAATGACTCCCAGGTTTCAGTTTTGGGCAGGTAACTAGGACATGTTTTGAAAAGTAATTTATTATATCTCTTACCGTTGGAACTATGTATCTGGAGCCAAATTAAAATTTGTGCATTGTATATAACTTTCCCCGCCACCAGTAACTACTACCCTAACTCTTTACTTGGTAGCCAGACTTCCTAAAAGAATAGTTTGTAGTCACTGTCCTTACTTTTCCCCCTCCCATTCTGTCCTAGATATTTGTCCATCTACCATCTGCTGCCTCCACTTTACCCAAACTGTTCTGCAGTTACCCAAAACTTCCTAATTGCCAAATTCAATGAACAAGTTTAAGCTTATATGTAAATTAGAAGCTCTACAGTTTCTGATTTCCAGCAGCTCCTCCTGAAACCCTTTCTCTTTTGACTTCCATGACACATCTCAGATTTACAAAACTGAACTAATTATTTTCCACTTGAGCTGTATTTTCATTCTTTTTTTCTTAATGAATGAGGTAACCACTCAACAAATTGCCCAAGCCAGAAACTACGAAGTCATCCTCAGTTCCTTCTTCTTCCATTTGACCCACAACAGATCAGCTGAAAAATCCTGCTGTTTAGTATTTCTTGAATTCACTACCTTAGTTTATAGCCTCATCAACTCTTAATTGTTAACATTGCTTCTGTAGTTGTTGTCTGAGCTCTGTCCAGTCTTGTTCAATCAGATCCATTATCTTGTTCTTGGTGGTGGTGGTGGTGGTGTTGACACAGAGTTTCGCTCTTGCTGCCCAGGTTGAAGTGCAATGGTGTGATCTCAGCTCACTGCAACCGCACCCTCCTGGGTTCCATCAATTCACCCTCCCGAGTAGCTGGGACTACAGGTATGTGCCACCACACCCTGCCAATTTTGTATTTTTAGTAGAGACAGGGTTTCACCATGTTTGTCAGGCTAGTCTCAAACTCCTGACCTCAAGCGATCCACCCACCTCAGCCTCCCAAAATGCTGGGATTACAGGCATGAGCCACTGCTCACGGCCCACCCAGATCCATTCTTTATGTTGCTTCTAGAGTGAGCTTTTTAGAACACAAATTTGACCATATCTTTCTCCTATTTAAGTCAGCATTTTTTTTTTCAAGAAAAAACAGTTCAAACTCTTTAGCCTGCTTACACAAGGCCTTTGTAGTCTGACCCTTCTTTCCAAGCTTTCATCAAACTATACTGCAAGTTGCATTTTATGTGAATTGAATTAGGCAAAAATATAAAAATTATAGTTTATGTGGGCAAAATGGAAATAATGTTAACTCTTCCAAACAGTTTATCTAGAATGACATAATTTCCAAGCTGGTAGGTCAAATGAGTTATAAACTGTTAACACTATTGCCACATGCAAGTGTCTCTTATACCTGGTAGAATTATCTGCTTCCATGTCAGTATTATGTAAATTAGACTTTAAATAACTCAGAAGTTCTTCAGACATACAGGTTATTATTGTGCTATTTTTTCACATAATTTTAAATAATTTTATATATGATAATGTTATCCAAGTGCTAAGGGATGTATTGTTACTGTTGTGAAAAAAACAAAAAACAAAAAAACTCCAAATAAATATGTTGAAACAAAGGTTACATGCAAGAAAACAATATTTAAAAGGCCAAAGTACCACCATGACAGGCTGTGTGGAGACAGCGGGCTACAAAACACTAGTAATAATGCTGAGAAAGTTGGAAAAAAAAAAAGAAAGAATATGCTTTGGTTCTTGTAGATTTATGTACTCTAAGAATACCTCCTCTCATACCTTTACGTTTTTCCCAAAGAAAAGTTAACCTTGGCCAGGCACAGTGGCTCACGCCTGTAATCCCAACACTTTGGGAGGCCAAGGTGGGGAGATCGCCTGAGGTCAGGAGTTCGAGACCAGCCTGACCAATATAGAGAAACACCCCCCTTATTACTGAAAAAATACAAAATTAGTCTGGGCGTGGTGACTCACCCCTGTAATCCCAGCACTTTGGGAAGCCGAAGCAGGCAGATCACCTGAGGTCAGGAGTTCAAGACCAGCCATGGAGAAACCCCGTCTCTACTAAAAATACAAAATTAGTTGGTTGTGGTGGCGCATGACTGTAATCCCAGCTACTCAGGAGGCTAAGGCAGGAGAATCACTTGAACCCGGGAGGCGGAGGTTGCCATGAGCTGAGATTACACCATTGCACTCCAGCCTGGGCAACAAGAGTGAAAATGTCTCAAAAAAAAAAAAAAAAAGAAAGAAAAAGAACAGAAAAGTTAATCTTGAACTATGTGAGATCTTTAGAAATGCATTCTTTCTGTAAAATGTGACTGCATTTGCCTTATTTATGGTAAAAATGTTGAGGCCTCAAACAACCCATGTTCTCTCAGTCTCCCTGCTGCCTAGCCTTTGTTCACATTGCTGCTTCTTGGTGGAAGCTCTTCCCTTGGCCTTGAAAATGCCTGCTTCTCTTTCAACGCAGCACAGTCATCACTTCTGTGGTAACCTTCTCCAGCACTATCAAACAGAAAGAATCTTGTAAATTCAGCTCTTACAGCATTCATTATATTATTTTGTAACTCTTTATAGATTCTTCTCTCCCACTAGATTCTGAGTCACTGGAGGGTAGGAGCTAACTACCCTCATTCATGTGTGGTTTGGTCAGCTACTGGCCACATTCCTGATGCATAGTTGATGCTCAAGCCTTAACTGGTGAATCAGCTCAAATATTGTCCTTCTCTAAATCCACTCACTCACTGACTATGTACTGAAAATAGTAAACACCAGTAATTTAATCCAATTTCTGCCGATACTACTTGGTACATTTCAGGTGAATTACTTTAATAAATATGTGTGTATTACATAATATTAAAGTTTGTAGAGAAGATCATGCTAGTCATTATTTCACCAGCTGATAACTAATCAAAACATAGAGTCTCAGGTTAACAAATGTCTGCCTTCTCAGTTAATTCAGTCATTAACAAACACCTCCTGATGCTGATAACAGGGCTGTGTTCAGCAATGAAGCCATAAAGGTAAATAAAGAAAATGCCCTCATGGAGCTCAAAGCCTAGTCATTATTGTTCTGATTTTTAATATTAAAGTTGGTTTGGGTTTTGGTAAAAAATGTTTAGACTTATCTCAGCGATCTTTTCATCCTTTGCTATATTATTTTTCTCTAAGAATCTTCCTTATCCCCTCCTTTAAAAAACTAGGTGATAATTCTAAATTATAAATTTAAATATTATAAATATTTTATAATATTTAATATTTATATTTAAATGTTTGATAAACATTTAAATTTTATAATATTTAAACGTTTATTTAAATTTATTCGTACATCAGTTTTTATTTTATTTAAATCGTTTGGCCAGGCATGGTGGCTCACGCCTATAATCCTAGAACTTTGGGAGGCCACATCAGGCAAATCACTTGAACTCAGGAGTTCGAGACCAGCCTGGGCAACGTGGTGAAACCCCATCTCTACCAAACATGCTAAAACTTACTTGGGTGTGGTAGCACGCATCTGTAGTCCCAGCTACTTGGGAGGCTAAGATGAGAGAATTGCTCGAACCCAGGTGAGAGGAGTGGGGTGGATGTTGCAGTGAGCTGAGATCGCGCCACTGCACTCCAACCTGGGTGACAGAGTAAGACTCCATCTCAAAAAAAAAAAAAAAGTTACTTAAATAAGATAAATTTAATAGCCATTCACATTTAGATGAGCATAAGGAACTAAACCTAGATAAAACTGTTAAATAAGGCCTGGGTACAGTGACTCATTCCTGTAATCTCAAGCACTTTGGGGGGTCAAGGAGAGAGGATCGCTTGAGTCCAGGAGTTAAAGACCAGCCTGGACAACATAATGAGGTCCCATCTCTATTAAAAAAGAAAATAAACCTGTTAAATAGCCACCAACTCACAAGTATTTGGGGTCAGCTTAATTTGCATTAAGTTTTTTCAACTGAGTTTTAATTTCCTGTTTATTCTACCATATATGCTTGCTTTTAGATTATGTTAGAAAGAATTTGAGTCAGTTCTCTACATATGAGCACAGTTTTGTGGCTACTCCTCTATGTGCCATTGACAATTGTGACTCACTTACCTTCCTTAGAGCCCCAACCATAACTGCCTTCAGAAACCCAAGGCACTGCTGAATTCTAGTGTAGGGACTTCCTAATCATTTTTGTGGCATGGACTTTCATGGGAAATATGAAGACTGTGGACTCCTTCTCAGAACAATGTTTTTACAGACATAAAATTAAATACTTAGCTGTATAAAGGAAACCTATTATATTAGAACAGAGTTATCAAAAATTTTTTACCTCCTTTAAGTTACGCTGTAAGGCTATAGTAACCAAAACAGCCTGGTACTGGTATAAAAACAGACACATATGTCAGTGGAACAGAATAGAGAACCCAGAAATAAAGCCACATACTTAACAGCCAACTGATTTTTGGTAAAGCTGACAGGAACATACAATGGGAAAAGGACACCAGTTTCAATAAATGGTGCTGGGAAAATTGGATAACTAGATGCAGAAGGAACGAAACTGGACCCATGTCTCTCACCATGTACAAAAATCAACTCAAGATGGATTAAAGACTCAAATGTAAGACCTGAAACTATAAAATAGAAAAAAAAAAAAAAATCTAGGGAAAACTCTTCTGGACATTGGTCTAGATGAAGAATTCATGGCCAGGCCCTGAAAAGCACAGGCAATAAAAACAAAAATAGACATATGGGACTTAATTAAACTAGAAAGCCTTTATACAGCAAAAGAAATAATCAACAGAGTAAATAGACAACCTGCAGAATGGGAGAAAATACTTGCAACCTATACATCTGACAGGGGACTGATAACTCAAATTTACAAGGAACTCAAACAGCTCAACAACAAAAAAACAAATAATCCTGTCAAAAAATGAGCTAAGGACACACTAGCTATTTTTCAAAAGAAGACATACAAGTGGCCAACAAGCATGTGAAAAAATGCTTGTCATCACTAATCATCATAGAAATGCAAATTGAAACCACAATGAGATACTATCTTACACCAATCAGAATGGCTGTTATTACAAAAAATAACATGTTGTTGAGGATGCAGAGAAAAGGGACCACTTATGCACTCTTGGTGGAATGTAAATTTATAAAACCTCTCTAGAAAATAGTATGGAGATTTCTCAAATAACTGAAAATAGAACTACCCTTTGATCCAGCAATCCCACTACTGCATATCTACCCAGAGGGAATCATTATATCAAAAAGATACCTGCATTTGTATGTTTATTTACAGCACTATTCACAATAGCAAAGATATAGAATCAACCTAAGTGTTCATCAGCTGATGGTTGGATAAAGAAAATATGGTGTGTGTGTATGCATATATGCAATGGAATATTATTCAGCCATAAGAAAGAATGAAATCATCTCTTTTGCAGCAACATGGATGGAACTGGAGGCCATTATCTTAAGTGAAACAACTCAGACACAGAAAGGCAAATACCTCATGTTCTCACTTATGGGTGGGAGCTAAGTAGTGTGGATCCATAGACAGAGTATAGAATGATAAACAGTAGAGACTCAAAAGGTGGGGGAAGTGAGAGGGAGGTGGATGAGAAATTACTTATTGTATACAAAGTATGTTATTCCAGTGATTGATACAGTAAAAGCCCTAACTTCACCACTATTCTATATGTCCATGAAACAAAATTATACTTGTACCCCATAAATTTATACAAGTAAAATAAAAATACAAAAAAACTTGATATGTAAACTTGTCATAATAAGTACAAAGCTGAAAGTAACATGTCTGATAACATGGTTTTAACATTTACTTCTCTGTCAAACACTTCAGTTCACTGAAAGAAAACAGCTTATGATACATCTTTAAGAAAGCATGTTTACATTTGCCTTTTAAACTGGATATGAAACTCATTTAATAAAAAACAATGCAGAAAAGAAAAAATAAATTGTAAATTTAAATATTAATGTTTAATAAGATTTTATTTTATTTAAACTTACTAAATAAAATAAATTTAATAACCATCCACATTTGGATGTGTATAAGGAACTAAATCTAGACAAAACTGTTATATAACACCAACTAACAAGTATTTTGGGATTAGCTTAATTCAGATTAATTTTTTTTAAACTGAGTTTTAAATTCCTGCTTACTCTACCATACGTGCTGGGCCTCATATTATGCTAGAAAAATTTTGAGCACAGATTTATGAATACTCTCCTGCATACCATTTAATTTAAACAAATTTCGATGCAGCATATATGTGCCTTTTTACCAACATATTAAATAATAAGATCTACTATGAGAACTAAACTTTTGTAATTTCAAAGTAGTAATGAGTTTAAACCATTTTCAAGATCTCTGCAATAATTGTAGCACAATAGAAAATAGGTATTTCTATTAATGACAGAGTCACACGTACTACTAATAATACTGTGGTTTGTTTCCTGCAACTAATCATGGAAGGAATGCTAAATTTCAGAAGTTGGTGAAAATACATGTGTATTTTTTCCCCATCCAAGTTCACAGATTTCTCACGCTGAGAACTCCTATTCCATAACAAAGTTCTGGAAACCTGCACGCCATATTGAAAGAGGGGCAGAAAGGAAGAACAAATAGGATTTAAAATTTTTTCAAATCCTGTATCCCTTGATTTTACAGCAAGATTGTGTTTATGTATTACTTGTGTTAAAAAACATAGTATAATCTAGACTCCAGATCAAAAACCACTGCTGCTCAGGGAGAAAGGGCCATCAAATGCCAGAGCCCTGCAGCCTTCTCCCACCCTGCCTGTACCCTCAGATGGAAGCACTTTTTTAATCATTGTTTCACCTTTAGCACTTTGACAATGAAGTCACAAACCTTCAGCCTCTCACCCGTAGGAACCCACTGTTGTAAGAGAAGGATGAAGCCAGTCCTTCCTAAAGGGCAGGATTAGATGTGTTTCTGGCATCCTCAGATGAAGCTATATTTATATTGAATAATATATTTATATTTCTCAAGGAATACTAGAATAATGATTCAGTTCAGTAGTGGGCCATTTATCTACCCTATATAATATTGTTTAATGAGAAAATGCTTTCTGTATTCCAAATATCTGATGATTTGTAAGAGAACATTTAAACAGAGGTATTCATAAGCTGAAACTTCTGGCATTTATTAAATGTCAAGATTGTTCATCAGTGTACTAGGTGATTAACTGACCACTGAACTTGAAGGTAGTATAAAGTAGTAGTAAAATGTACAATCATTGTCTCTTAACAGATGCTCTTTGCTTTCATTAGGAATAAAGATGGCTGCTGAACCAGCAGAAGACAATTGCATCAATTTTGTGGCAATGAAATTTATTGACAGTATGCTTTACTTTATAGGTAAGGCTAATGCCATAGAACAAATACCAAGTTCAGATAAATCTATTTAACTAGAAAAGATGTTGTGAGGTGAACTGTTAAGTGATTCTTTTTGTCACCAAATTTTATTGTAATATTAATGGCTCTTAAAAAAATAGTGGACCTCTAGAAATTAACCATAACATGTCCAAGGTCTCAGCACTTTGTCACACCACATGTCCTGGCACTTTAATTAGCAGTAGCTCACTCTTCAGGTGGCAGTAAGTGCACATCATGAAAATCCCAGTTTTCATGGGAAAATCCCAGTACAAAACTGGGTGCATGCAGGAAATACAATTTCCCAAAGCAAATTGGCAAATTATGTAAGAGATTCTCTAAATTTAGAGTTCTATGAGTTACACCATTTTATGTAAATATGTTTGACAAGTAAAAATTGATTCATTTTTTTTTTTCCTGTTGCCCAGGCTGGAGTGCAGTAGCCTGATCTCTGCTTACTGCAACCTCCACCTCCTGAGTTCAAGTGATTCTCCTGCCTCAGCCTTCTGAGTAGCTGGGACTACAGGTGCATCCCACCACACCTGGCTAATTTTTTGCATTGTTAATAGAGACAGCATTTTGCCATGTTGGCCAGGCTGGTCTTGAACTCCTGACCTCAGATGATCCTCCTGCCTCAGCCTCCCAAAGTGCTGGGATTATAGGCATGAACCACCACACATGGCCTAAAAATTGCTTCTTATGATTAATCTTCTGTGAACAATACGGCTTCATTTGAAAGTTTGCCTTCATTTGAAACCTTCATTTAAAAGCTTGGACAACAAAGTGAGACCCCATCTCTACAAAAAATTGAAAAAAATTACCTGTAGACACCGCCTACCTTCTTCAGAGGCTGAAGCAGGAAAATCACTTGAGCCTAGGAATTCGAGCCTGCACTGAGCTATGATCCCATCCCTACACTCCAGCCTGCATGACAGTAGACCCTGTCAAAAAAAAAAAAAAAACCTTCAGAAAAAATTCTTAGGTGACTTTTCTTAGATGACTTTCCATTTAAGCAATAAATTCAAAAGTAAAATCTCTCATTTTATAAAATTTATTTTTAGTTACATATTGAAATTTTTAAACCCTGGGTTTAAGTTTTATGTCTAAATTACCTGAGAACACACTAAGTCTAATAAGCTTCATTTTATGGGCCTTTTGGATGATTATATAATATTCTGATGAAAGCCAAGACAGACCGTTACTATAAAAATAAGAGTTTAAGAGGAGTAACAAAAGTAAAAACTAGAATGAGATGAAATTTTGAGTCGAAATACAAAATTTTACATATTCTGTTTCTCTTTTTTTCCCCCTCTTAGCTGAAGATGATGGTAAAGTATAAATGAATTTATTTTTCTTTGCAAACTAAGTATCTGCTTGAGACACATCTATATCAACATTGTCAGCTGAGGAAAAAAATGGGTCACGTGATAGCCATCTATTTGGAAAGCCCATCTACCCTCAAAGGAATGTGGACTCAGTAGCACAGCTTTGGAATGAAGATGGTCATAAGAGATACAAAGAAGAACCTCTAGCAAAAGATGCTTCTCTACGTCTTAAAACATTTTCCAGCTCTTAGAACGTACAAAATAGACTTTGCCTGTTTCATAGGTCCTAAGATTAGCAGGGAGTCATGGATTCTGTTGCCGGTGGGGAGGCATTGCATAGGAAAAGGGGATTGAAGCATTAGAATTGTCCAAAATCAATAACACCTCATCTCAGAAATGCTTTGGGAAGAAGCCTGCGATGCTCCTGGATTGATGGCGACGGGAGGGCAGAAAATTCTGGAAGTAGAGGAGATAGGAATGGGTGGGGCAAGAAGACCACATTCAAAGGCCAAGATCTGAAAGAAACCATGGCATTTATGATGAATTCATGGTAATTCAGCATGGAAGTAGAGTAGGAGTAGGAGAATAATGAGAGAAGCTAGAGTGATAAACAGAGTGTAAAGCAAGACATTCTCTTGCTCCAAGATATGAAATTTGGACTTTATCTTGGAGATACTAGGGTTAATTAAGCACAATATGTATTAGCTAGGGTAAAGATTAGTTTGTTGTAACAAAGACATCCAAAGACACAGTAGCTGAATAAGACAGATAATTTTTTCTCAAAGTCTAAGTAGGCAGCTCCGAAGTAGTATGGCTGGAAGCAACCTGATGATATTGGGACCCCAACTTTCTTCAGTCTTGTTACCCATCATCCCCCAGTTGTTTATCTCATACACATAGTTGAAAATCATCATACTTCCTGGGTTCATATCCCAGTTATCAAGAAAGGGTCAAGATAAGAGAAGTCAGGCTCATTCCTTTCAAAGACTCTAATTGGAAGTTATATACATCAATTCCCCTCATATTCCATTGACTAGAATCTAATCACATTACCACACCAAGTGCAAGGAAATCTGGAAAATATAATCTTTATTCCAGGTAGCCATATGACTCTTTAAAATTCAGAAATAATATATTTTTTAAAATATCATTCTGGCTTTGGTATAAAGAATTAATGGTGTGGGGTGAGGAGGACAAAATTAAAGGTTGAGAGGCTATTTTAGTTCTTACAAGAAATGATGGTGTCATAAATTAAGGTAGACATAATGGAGTGCTGATGAGGAGCTGTGAATGGATTTTAGAAACACTTGAGAGAATCAGTAGGACATGATTTAAGGTTAGATTTGGAAAGGAGAAGAAAGTAGAAAAGATGATGCCTACATTTTTCACTTGGGCAATTTGTACCATTCAATGAAATAGGAAACACAGGAGGAAGAGCAGGTTTTGGTGTATACAAAGAGGAGGATGGATGACACATTTAGTTTTGGATCTGAGATATCTGTGGAACATCCTAGTGGAGATGTCCAATAAACTCTTCTACATGTGGTTCTGAGCTCAGGACAAAGATTTGGGCTGGAGATAGAGATATTGAAGGCTTATGCATAGAAATGGCATCTGAATCTATAGAAATAAAAAGACAAATCAGAGGAAATGTGTAGAGTGAGAGAGTAAAAGCCAAGTACTAAACTGAGAGGAATACCTACATTTAAAGGATGCAGTAGAAAGAGAAGCTAATAAAGAACAGAGAGCAGACTAACCAAAAAGGAAGAAGAAGAACCAAGAGAATTCCACTGACTCCCAGGAGAGCATTTTAAGATTGAGGGGATAGGAGTTGTGTTGAATTTTGCAGCCTTGAGAATCAAGGGCCAGAACACAGCTTTTAGATTCAGCAACAAGGAGTTTGGTGATCTCAGTGAAAGCAGCTTGATGGCGAAATGGAGGCAGAGGCAGATTGCAATGAGTGAAACAGTGAATGGAAAGTGAAGAAAGGATACAGACAATTCTTGCTAAAAGCTTGGCTGTTAAAAGGAGGAGAGAAACAAGACTAGCTGCAAAGTGAGATTGGGTTGATGGAGCAGTTTTAAATCTCAAAATAAAGAGCTTTGTGCTTTTTTGATTATGAAAATAATGTGTTCATTTTATAACTAATTCAGGCAATGAAAAAAGATAATAGGCCGGGCACGGTGGCTCAAGCCTGTAATCCCAGCACTTTGGGAGGCCGAGACGGGCGGATCACTAGGTCAGGAGATCGAGACCATCCTGGCTAACACGGTGAAACCCCGTCTCTATTAAAAAAAATACAAAAAACTAGCTGGGCGTGGTGGCGGGCGCCTGTAGTCCCAGCTACTGGGGAGGCTGAGGCAGGAGAATGGCGTAAACCTGGGAGGCGGAGTTTGTAGTGAGCTGAGATCCGGCCACTGCACTCCAGCCTGGGCGACAGAGCGAGACTCCGCCTCAGAAAAAAAAAAAAAAGAAAAAAGATAATAATATGAAAGATAAAAATATAAAAACCACCCAGAAATAATCATAGCTACCATTTTGATGCAATATTTCAATATTTCTACACTTCTTTCTATATATATATATGGAAGAAATGCTTATATTTTTATTAAAAGGGATTGTACTATACCTAAGCTGCTTTTTCTAGTTAGTGATATATATGGACATCTCTCCATGGCAACGAGTAATTGCAGTTATATTAAGTTCATGATATTTCACAATAAGGGCATATCTTTGCCCTTTTTATTTAATCAATTCCTAATTGGTGAATGTTTGTTTCTAGTTTATTTTTATTAACAATGTTCCCATAAGCATTCCTGTACAAAAATGTTCACACATTTGTGTGACTTTTTCTTTAGGATAAAACCCAGGAGGTAGAATTGCTGGGTTAATAGAAGAGAAAGGATGATTGGCAAATCAAAGCTTCAGTAGAGGGTACATGCCGAGCACAAATGGGATCAACCTTAGATACCAGCAATGGCACCTTTGCATTTCCCCTTGGGACAAGAGAGAGAGGAAATAACTGGTACTGCCAGAGTTAAATTTGTACGTGGAGTAGCAGGAAATCATTTGCTGAAAATGAAAACAGAGATGATGGTGTAGAGGTCCTGAAGAGAGTAAACAAAATTTGAAATTGCGGCTATCAACTATGGAAGAGAGTGCTGAACTGGAAAACAAAAGAAGTATTGACAATTGATATGCTTGTAACAGCACCGATTCGAACACTTGTGCCATTGTTCGCCAGCAGCACTCAGCAGCCAAGTTTGGAGTTTTGTAGCAGGAAGACAAATAAATTAGGGATTTAATATCCTGGCAAAATGGTAGACAAAATGAACTCTGAGGTCCAGCTGCACGGGGAAGAAAGGGAAGACAGGAAGAGGTTAGAGAGGAAATACAAGAGTCAGAAGACTGGAAGATGTTGTGAAACTTAAGAACACATAGAGTTGGAGTAAAAGTGTAAGAAAACTAAAAGGGTAAGAGACTGGTCAGAAAGTAGGATATTTGAAGTTAACACTTCAGTGGCAGAGTAGTTCTGAATGGTAACAAGAAATTGAGTGTGCCTTTGAGAGTAGGTTAAAAAGCAATAGGCAACTTTATTGTAGCTACTTCTGGAACAGAAGATTGTCATTAATAGTTTTAGAAAACTAAAATATATAGCATACTTATTTGTCAATTAACAAAGAAAGTTTGTGTTTTTTAATGAGATTTCATGTTTGTTGTAGAAAACCTGGAATCAGATTACTTTGGCAAGCTTGAATCTAAATTATCAATCATAAGAAATTTGAATGACCAAGTTCTCTTCATTGACCAAGGAAATCGGCCCCTATTTGAAGATATGACTGATTCTGACTGTAGAGGTATTTCTTTTAATTCGCAAAGGTAGAAATGACTAGCTACTTCTTCCCATTCTGTTTTACTGTTTACATTTTTCCGTGCTAGTCCCAATCCTTAGATGAAAAGTCACAGGAGTAACAATAATTTCACTTACAAGAAACTTTATGAGGCATCCATGTTTTTTAGCTGGGGTAAAAAAATGGATACAATAAGACATTGCTAGGGGTCATGCCTCTCTGAACCTGCCTTTGAATCACCAATCCCTTTATTGTGATTGTACTCACTGTTTAAAACCTCTATAGTTGGATGCTTAATCCCTGCTTGTTACAGCTGAAAATGCTGATAGTTTTAAAAATATTAAAGATAAATACACACGCATTTCAAATGAGTCTGTCTTCCCCCAGAAATTTAGAGTACAATAGAAAAGGATTAAGTTGCCAGGTGTGGTGGCATCTATCTGTAATCCTAGCTACCTGGGAGGCTCATGCAGGAGGATTGCTTGAGGCCAGGACTTTGAGACTGTCGCACACGATGATCGTGCCTGTGAATAGCCACTGCGCTCTTGCCTGGGTGATATAGAGACCTTGTCTGTAAAATAAAAAATAAAATAAAATAAAAAAACTTTAAAAAAAAAAGAAAATGATCAAGTCTACTGTGCCTTCCAAAACATGAATTCCAAATACCAAAGTTAGGCTAAGTTGAAGCAGTGAATGTGCGTTCTTTAAAAATACTGAATACTTACCTTAACATATATTTTAAATATTTTATTTAGCATTTACAAGTTAAAAACAATCTTTTAGAATTCATATCTTTAAAATACTCAAAAAAGTTGCAGCATGTATGTTGTAACACACATTAAACTGTGGGCTTGTTTGTTTGTTTGAGACACAGTTTCACTCTGTCACCCAGGCTTAAGTACACTACAGTGGTGCGATCTCTGCTCACTACAACCTGCGCTTCCAGGTTCAATCAATTCTTATGCCTCAGCCTCCCAGCCTCAGTAGCTGGGACTACAGGCATGCACCACATACACCCAGCTAATTTTTGTATTTTTAGTAGAGTTGAGGTTTCACCATGTTGGCCAGGCTGGTCTCAAACCCCTGACCTCAAGTGATCTGCCTGCCTCGGCCTCCCAAACAAACAGACAACCCCACAGTTTAATATGTGTTACAACGCACATGCTGCAACTCTTTTGAGTATTTTAATGATAGGGATTCTAAAAGGTTGTTTTTAACTTTTCAATGCTGGGATTACAGGTACGAGCCACTGTGCCAGGCCTGAACTGTGTTTTAAAAAATGTCTGACCAGCTGTACGTAGTCTCCTGCAGACTGGCCAAGTCTCAAAGTGGGAACAGGTGTATTAAGGACTATCCTTTGGTTAAATTTCCACAAATGTTCCTGTGCAAAAATTCTTCTAACTAGAGTTCTCATTTATCGTATTTATTTCAGATAATGCACCCCGGACCATATTTATTATAAATATGTATAAAGATAGCCAGCCTAGAGGTATGGCTGTAGCCATCTCTGTGAAATGTGAGAAAATTTCAACTCTCTCCTGTGAGAACAGAATTATTTCCTTTAAGGTAAGACTGAGCCTTACTTTGTTTTCAATCATGTTAATATAATTAATATAATTAGAAATATAACATTATTTCTAATGTTAATATAAATAATATAATTAGAAAACTCAAATATCCTCAGACCAACCTTTTGCCTAAAACAGAAATAACAAGAAGCAGAGAACCATTAAAATGAATACTTACTAAAAAATATCAAACTCTTTACCTATCGTGATAACGATGGTTTTTCTGAGCCTGTCACAGGGAGGAGGAGATACAATACTTGTTTTATGACCTGCATCTCCTGAATAATCAGTCTTTATACAAATAATAATATAGAACACATATGTGAGTTATACATTTAAGAATAACAGGTGACTTTCCAGAATGAGTTCTGCTGTGAAGAATGAAGCTAATTATCCTTCTATATTTCTACTCCTTTGGAAATCATAATACTATTTTAATCTGTAGTTGTTTTGTTCCTGATCCTTAGTCTAAGTCTCAAACACAAGCTTCAGCTTCCAGTTGATATATGTTATTTTTAATGTTAATCTAATTGAATAAAATTTATGAGATCAGCTGTAAAAGCAATGCTATAATAATCTGAAAGCCAGGTATAAAGTATTTCTGGCCTCTACTTTTTCTCTATTATTCTCTATTATTTTTCTCTATTTCCTCCATTATTGTTAGATAAACCACAATTAATTATAGCTACAGACTGAGCTAGAAAAATTTCCTCCCAGTAAGAGTAGCCAGGGATGCTTAGAAATTGGCAATGCTTCAGAGGAGAATTCCATGTCATGAAGACTCTTTTTGAGTGGAGATTTGCCAGTAAATAACTGCTTTCATGCCCACCCAGTCCCCACTAAAAGACAGTTAGGATATGAGCTTAGTGAAGGTACCAAGTGGCAATTTGGGAGGGAGAAAAAAGCCACTCCAAAATATAATCCAAGTGAGAACAGTGCATATGCAACAGATACAGCACCCAGACAAATCCCTCAGCTATCTCCTTCCAACCAGAGTGCCACCCCTTCAGGTGACAATTTGGAGTCCCCATTCTAGACCTGATAGGCAGGCAGCTTAGTTATCAAAATGGCATAAGACGCCTGGGATGGAAGGGTAGGGTGCAAGGGGTTAAGCATGCTGTTACTGAGCAACATAATTAGAAGGGAAGGAGATGGCCAAGCTCAAACTATGTGGGATAGAGGAAAACTCAGCTGCAGAGGCAGATTCAGAAACTGGGATAAGTCCAAACCTATAGGTGGATTCTTGTTGGGGGAGACTGGTGACAAGGTTAAGAAGATGGAAATAATGCTTGGCACTTAGTAGGAACGGGGCAAATCCATATTTGGGGAAGCCTGAAGCTTATACAATTTTGATGGTCCTTTTAAAGAAAAAGAACGTGGCTGGGCACGGTGGCTCATGCCTGTAATCCCAGCACTTTGGGAGGCCGAGGTGGGCAGATCACCTGAATTCAGGAGTTCAAGACCAGCCTGACCAACATGGAGAAACCCCATCTCTACTAAAAACACAAAATTAGCTGGGCGTGGTGGCGCATGCCTGTAATTCCAACTCCTCGGGAGGCTGAGGCAGGAGACTCTTTTGAACCTGGGAGGCATAGGTTGCGGTGAGCCGAGATCGTGCCATTGCACTCCAGTCAGGGCAACAAAAGCGAAATTCGGTCTCAAAAAAAAAAAAAGAATGTAAAATTACCAAAGGCGTAAGCTTAAATTTAATTCAACTTTTAAAAAGGGTGGGTGAGGGGTGGCTTGAAGAGATCTGTGCAAATGAGGGAATCTGACATTGAAGCTTCATCAGCATCATAGCAAATGTGCTTCTGGAAGGAACTCAGTAAATATTGGAGGGAGGGAGAGAGCAAGGGGTGGACTAGGACCAGTTTTAGCCCTTGTCTTTAATCCCTTTTCCTGCCACTAGTAAGGATCTTAGCAGTGGTTATAAAAGTGGCCTAGGTTCTAGATAATAAGATACAACAGGCCAGGCACAGTGGCTCATGCCTATAATCCTAGCACTTTGGGAGGGCAAGGCGAATGTCTCACTTGAGATCAGGAGTTCAAGACCAGCCTGGCCAACATGATGATACCTCGTCTCAACTAAAAAAAAAAAAAAAATAATTAGCCAGGCATGGTGGCACGTACCTGTAATCCCAGCTACTCGTGAGCCTGAGGCAGGAGAATCGCTTGAACTCAGGAGGCGTAGGCTGCAGTGAGCCGAGATCGTACCACTGCACTCCAGCCTGGGCGACAGAATGAGACTTCGTCTCAAAAAAAAGAAAAAGATAAAAAGACACAACTGGCTGCCCTAATGTGCTCACCTTTCACTGTTGATTACTAGCTATAAAGTCCTATAAAGTTCTCTGGTCAAGAACCTTGACAACACAAAGAGGGATTTGCTTTGAGAGGTTACTGTCAGTGTCTGTTTCATATATATACATATATATGTATATATGTATCTATATCCAGGCTTGGCCAGGGTTCCCTCAGACTTTCCAGTGCACTTGGGAGATCTTAGGTCAATATCAACTTTCCCTGGATTCAGATTCAACCCCTTCTGAAGTAAAAAAAAAAAAAAAAAATCCTTTGCCCCTTGGAGCACTCAAGTTTCACCAGGTAGGGCTTTCCAAGTTGGGGGTTCTCCAAGGTCATTGGGATTGCTTTCACATCCATTTGCTATGTACCTTCCCTGTGATGGCTGGGAGTGGTCAACATCGAAACTAGGAAAGCTACTGCCCAAGGATGTCCTTACCTGTATTCTGAAATGTGCAATAACTGTGATTAAAGAGATCGCCTGTTCTACCTACCCACACTCTCACTTCTCAGTTTCAACTGTAACTTTCTTTTTTATTTTATTTATTTAATTTAATTTATTTATTTATTTATTTATTTATTTTTTGAGACAGAATCTCGCTCTGTCGCCCAGGCTAGAGTGCAGTGGCACGATCTCGGCTCACTGCAAGCTCTGCCTCCTGAGTTCACGCCATTCTCCCACCTCAGCCTCCCGAGTATCTGGGACTACAGGCACCCACCACCACGCCCAGCTAATTTTTTGTATTTTTCGTAGAGACGGGGTTTCACTGTGTTAGCCAGGATGGTCTCGATCTCCTGACCTCGTGATCCACCCGTCTTGGTCTCCCAAAGTGCTGAGATTACAGGTGTGAGCCATCGCGCCTGGCTCAACTGTAACTTTCTATACTGGTTCATCTTCCTCTGTAATGTTACTAGAGCTTTTGAAGTTTTGGCTATGGATTATTTCTCACTTATACATTAGATTTCAGATTAGTTCCAAATTGATGCCCACAGCTTAGGGTCTCTTCCTAAATTGTGGTATATTGTAGACAGCTGCAGAAGTGGGTGCCAATAGGGAAACTAGTTTATACTTTCATCAACTTAGGACCCACACTTGTTGGTGAAGAACAAAGGTCAAGAGTTATGACTATCGATTCCACAACTGATTGAGAAGTTGGAGGTAACTCCCCAGCCTCCACCGCCCAGAGTCTTTCAGGCATCTTAGGAAGATGAAGAAATGCTATTTTAATTCTGGAGGTTTCTCTATCAGTGCTTGGGATCATGGGAATCTGTGCTGCCATGAGGCCAAAATTAAATCCAAAACATCTACTGGTTCCAGGATTAACATGGAAGAAACATAGGTGGTGCCCACATGTTCTGATCCATCCTGCAAAATAGACATGCTGCACTAACAGGAAAAGTGCAGGCAGCACTACCAGTTGGATAACCTGCAAGATTATAGTTTCAAGTAATCTAACCATTTCTCACAGGACCCTATTCTGTAACTGAAACATACAGGAATCTGCATTTGGCCTTCTAGGGCAGGGCCCAGCCAAGTAGACCATATTCAGGACAGAAATTCAAGACTACCATGGAACTGGAGTACTTGGCAGGGAGACAGAGTCAAGGACTGCCAACTGAGCCAATACAGCAGGTTTATACAGGAACCCAGGGCCTAGCCCTACAACAAGTATTGGGTCTATTCACCATCAGTTTTAATTTCAGGCTCCACTGAAAGAGTAAGCTAAGATTCCTGGCATTTCCTGTCTCTCTCACAGTTGGCTCAGAAATGAGAACTGGCCAGGCTAGGCATGGTGGCTTACACCTGGAATCCCAGCACTTTGAGAGGCCGAAGTGGGAGGATCACTTGAGGCCAGGAGTTCAAGACCAGCCTAGGCAACAAAGTGAGGTACCCCCGACCCCTTCTCTACAAAAATAAATTTTAAAAATGAGCCAAATGTGGTGGCACGTACTTACAGTCCCAGCTACTCAGGAGGCTGAGGCAGGGGGATTGCTTGAGCCCAGGAGTTCAAGGCTGCAGTGAGCTATGATTTCACCACTGCACTTCAGGCTGGGCAACAGAGCGAGACCCTGTCTCAAAGCAAAAATAAAAGGAAACTAGAACTAGCCTAAATTTATGAGAGGAGATCATCAATGTCTTTAGTTGTGAATGGTTATAGAGGACAGGAACTGACATTAGCCCAAAAAGCTTCTGGTCTTTGCTGGAACTCTACTTCATCTTGAGCAAATGTGGACACCACTCAGTGGGAGAGGAGAGAAGTAAGCTGTTTGATGGACAGAGGAAAACTAGAGTCCTGGACCTGAATATGCATCCCATGACAGGGAGAATAGGAGATTCGGAGTTAAGAAGGAGAGGAGGTCAGTATTGCTGTTCAGAGATTTTTTTATGTAACTCTTGAGAAGCAAAACTACTTTTGTTCTGTTCAGTAACATACTTCAAAACAAACTTCATATATTCAAATTGTTCATGTCCTGAAATAATTAGATAATGTTTTTTTCTCTATAGGAAATGAATCCTCCTGATAACATCAAGGATGCGAAAAGTGACATCATATTCTTTCAGAGAAGTGTCCCAGGACATGATAATAAGATGCAATTTGAATCTTCATCATACGAAGGATACTTTCTAGCTTGTGAAAAAGAGAGAGACCTTTATAAACTAATTTTGAAAAAAAAGGATGAATTAGGGGATAGATCTATAATGTTTACTGTTCAAAACGAAGACTAGCTATTAAAATTTCATGCTGGGCACGGTGGCTCACGCCTGTAATCCCAGCCTCAGAGGTCAGGAGTTCAAGACCAGCCTGACCAACATGGTGAAACTTCGTCTCTACTAAAAATACAAAAAATTAGCTGGGTGTGGTAACCCATGCCCACAATCCCAGCTACTCGAGAGGCTAAGGCAGGAGAATCACTTGAACCCGGGAGGCAGAGGTTGTGGTGAGCCACAAATGCGCCATTGCACTCCAGCCTGGGCAACAAGAGCAAAACTCCATCTAAATATATACATACATACATACATACATACATACATACATACATACAAATTTCATAATGTAAACTGTCTGAATTTTTATGTTTAGAAAGATTATGAGATTCTTAGTCTATAATTGTAATGGTGAAACAAAATAAATACTGGTCTTGAAAAACATCATTAAGAAATGAATGAACTTTCACAAAAGCTAACAGACTTTCCCTTATTTAAGTCAATAAAATATTTGCATGTTTAAAAACTTCATAGTTTGAAAACATTCTACATTGTTAATTGGCATATTAATTATACTTAATATAATTATTTTTGAAGCTTTTGGGTTATTAGTCCTAATGACAAAAGATATTGATATTTGAACTTTCTTTTTTCTTTTTTTTTTTTTTGAGATGTAGTCTCGCTCTGTCGCCCAGGCTGGAGTGCAGTGGCCGGATCTCAGCTCACTGCAAGCTCCGCCTCCCGGGTTTATGCCATTCTCCTGCCTCAGCCTCCCGAGTAGCTGGGACTACAGGCGCCTGCCACTTCGCCCGGCTAGTTTTTTATATTTTTTAGTAGAGACGGGGTGTTAGCCAGGATGGTCTTGATCTCCTGACCTCATGATCTGCCCGTCTCGGCCTCCCGAAGTGCTGGGATTACAGGCTTGAGCCACCGCGCCTGGCCTGAACTTTCTAATTTTTAAGAATATCATTAAAACCATCAAGATTTTTATAAGGAGGCCACTTCACTTAACGAATTTCTGAATTTCTTCCAAAGTCAGTATATCTTTAAAATTCAGTTTGATCCTGAATCCAGCAACATATAAAAGGGATTATATACTCTGGCCAACTGACATCCCAGGAATGCACAGATGGTTTAATATCCTAAAATCAATTAACATAACATACTATATTAATAAAGTATCAAAACCATATTCTCATCTTTTTTCACAATTCCTTGGTTACACTATCATCTCAATAAATGCAGAAAAAGCATTTGACAAAATCCAATTCATAATAAAAATTCTCAAACTTGAAAGAGAACATGATAAAGGCATCTATGAAAGACCTACAGCTAATATCATACTTAATGATGAAAAACTGAATTATTTTACCCTAAGATCGGGAATAATGCAAGCATGTCAGCTCTTGCAACTTCTGTTCAACATCGTACTGGATGTACTAGCCAGGGCAACCATACAAGAAGTAAAAATAAAAGGCATCCAGATTAGAAAGGAAGTCTTTATTTGCAGATAACATGGTTCTTTATGCAGAAAACCCTCAGGAATATACACACATGTTAGAACTAATAAGTTAAGCAAGGTTGCAGGTTGCAATATCAATATGCAAAAATACACAGAAGGCTGGGCTCAGTGGAGATGACCCATAACTTTTGTCTCAGCTACTTGGGAGGCTGAGGTAGGAGGATCACTTGAGGTCAGGAGTTTGAGGCTATAGTGCAATGTGGTCTTGCCTGTGAATAACCACTGCACTGGAGCCTGGGCAACAAAGTGAGACCCCATCTCAAAAAAAAAAAGGTATATGGTATTTCTGTATATGAGCAATGAACAATATGAAAACAAGAAAATTCCATTCACAATGGTATTAAAAAGAATAAAATACAAATAAATTTAGCAAAAGAATTATAAAACTTGTACATTGAAAATTTCAAAGCATTCTGGGGGAAATTAAAGATGATCTAAATAATTGGAGAGACATTCCATGATCATTGGAAAATTCATTCAATATTGTTAAGATAACAATTCTCCCCAAATTGATGCATGCATTAAACTTAGTCTTCATCAAAATTCCAGCAGGGTTTTTGCAGAAATTGACAAGCTGTACCCAAAGTGTATATGGAATTGAAAAGACCCAGAATAGCAAATAATTTTTTAAAAACAAAGTTGGAAAACTTTTACTTCCTAATTTTAAAACTTACTATAAAGCTAAAGTTATCAAGACCATTTAGTACTAATACAAGATATAAATATATAGATCAAAGGAACAGATTTGAGAGTCCAGAAATAAACTCTAATATTTATGGTTAATTGATTTTTGACAAAGGTGCCAAGTCAGTTTGATAGAGAAAATAAGGCCAGGCACGGTGGCTTACCCCTGTAATCCCCAGCACTTTGGGAGGCTGAGGCAGGTGGATCACTTGAGTTCAGGAGTTCAAGATCAGCCAGGCCAACATGGTGAAACCCCATCTCTACTAAAAATACAAACATTAGCCAGGTGTAGTGGCATGCGCCTGTAATCCCAGCTACTCAGGAGGCTGGGGCAGGAGAATCTCTTAAACCTGGGAGGTGGAGGTTGCAGTGAGCCAAGATCATGCCACTGCACTCCAGCCTGGGCAACAGAGCAAAACTCTGTGTCATAGATAGAGAAAATAGTATCTTTTCAACAAATGATAATGGGACAATTGGATATCCACATACAAAAAAAAAAAGATTAACTTAGACCCTTACCTTACACCTTATACAAAACTTCATTCAAAATGAACCAGAGACATTAATGTAAGAGCTGAAGCTATAAAAATTTAGAATAAAGCATATGAGAAAATGGTAAAACCTTGGGTTCAGCAAAGGCTTTTTAGTTATGACCCAAGAAGCATGATCCATAAAAGAAAAATAATTAACAAATTTGACTTAACCAAAATTCATTATTTTGGGGTTGAGGAGGAACTGGGTGAAGGATACGTGGGACATCTCTCTACCATTCTTGCAATTTCCTGTGAACCCTTGATTATTTCCAAATAAAAAGGTATTCTTTTCTTTCTTTAGAGAGAGGACCTTACTCTGTTACCCAACCTGGAGTGCAGTGGTGTGATTATAGCTCACTGCAGCCTTGAACTCCTGGGTTCAAGTGATCCTCCTGCCTCAGCCTCCCAAGTAGCTGAGACTAAAGGCACATGCCACCATAATTGGCCAATTTTTTTTGAATTGTAGAGAAGGGGGTCTTGCTATGTTGCACAGAGTGGAAAATAAAATGTATTTTAAGAAATAACATTTGCACTCAAAAGACACTATTAAGGTAATGAAAAGCAGCCAGGCAAGGTGGCTCATGCCTGTAATCCCAGCACTTTGGGAGGCCAAGGGGGGCGGATCATTTGAAGTCAGGAGTTGGAGACGAGCCTGGCCAACGTGGCAAAAACTAAAAACACAAAAACTAGCCAGGCGTGGTGGTGGGCACCTGTAATCCCAGCTACTCAGGAGGCTGAGGCAGGAGAATCACTTGAACCTGGATTTAATTTACTTTAATGTTTGAGACGGGAGTTTCGCCTTTCGCCTAGGCTGTAGTGAATTGACATGATATCACTCACTGAAACCTCTGCCCCCAGGTTCAGCGATTCTCCTGCCTCAGCCCCCTGAGCAGCTGGGATTATAGGCACCCACCAGCATGCCTGGCTAATTTTTTTTTATTTTTAGTAAGAGTCAGTGGTTTTGCCATTTTGGCCAGGC